CAAGCATGCTTTCCATTATTCCCTATGGGCTAGCGTAATCTCCAATATTCCCTATCTGCAAGCATGGTTTCCATTATTCCCTATGGGCAAACGTAGTCTCCATTGTTCCCTATGGGCAAGCGTGCTTTCCATTATTCCCTATGGGCAAGCGTGCTTTCCATTATTCCCTATGAGCTAGCCTAATGTCCATTATTCCCTACGGGCACGCGTGCTTTCCATTATTCCCTATGGGCAAGCGTGCTTTCCATTATTCCCTACGGGCAAGCGTGCTTTCCATTATTCTCTATGGGCAAGCGTGGTTTCCATTATTCCCTATGGGCAAGCGTAGTCTCCATTATTCCCTATGGGCAAGCGTGGTGTCCATTAATCCGTATGAGCAAGCGTGCTTTCCATTATTCCCTACGGGCAAGCATGGTGTCCATTAATCCCTATCAGCAAGCGTGCTTTCCATTATTCCCTACGGTCAAGTGTGCTTTCCACTATTCCCCATGGGCAAGCGTGGTTTCCATTATTTCCTATGGGCAAGCGTGGTGGCCATTATTCCCTATGGGCAAGCCTGGTGGCTATTATTCCCTATGGGCAAGCGTGCTTCCCATTATTCTGTATGGGCAAGCGTGCTTTCCATTATTCCCCATGGGCAGGTGTGGTGGCCATTATTCCCTATGGGCAAGCCTGGTGGCTATTATTCCCTATGGGCAAGCGTGCTTCCCATTATTCTGTATGGGCAAGTGTGCTTTCCATTATTCCATTTGGGCATTCATGGATTCTCTATTGGCAATTATGGATTATCTATTGGCAGTTATGTACTCCATTATCCCCTGTGGGCAGGTGTCCTCTCCATTATTCCCTATGGGCAGTCATGGATTCTTTATTGGCAATTATGGATTCTTTATTGGCAATTATGGATTCAGCCAACTTCAGAGGACGGCGGAAGACAGGAGGGCCTGGCGGGAGATGATCCATGGGGTCGCGAAGAGTCGGACTCGACTGTGCGACTGAACAACAACAATGGATTCTCTATTGGCAATTATATACTGTACTATCCCCTCTGGGCAAGCCTACTCTCCATTATTCCCTGTGGGCAATCATGGATTCTCTATTGGCAATTATGGATTCTCTATTAGCAATTATGTACTCCATTATCCCCTATGGGCAAGCCTACTCTTCATTATCCCCTATGGGCAATCATGCATTCTCTATTGGCATTCATGTATTGCCTATGGGCAATCGTTGTCCACTCATGTATTGCCTATGGGCAATCACTTGTCCTTAGTTTTAGTACGTCCCTATTTTTTCTCCTACATACTGGTGCAGGCTTCTTCCCTCTCGCTTCCTACAGACATAACAAAGGGTTCCCAACCTATGCAGTCGGGAGTTTCCCAGGATATAGAAGAAAGTGGCTCACCTGGAGGAAATAGCAGCTTTGGGGGGTAGAGTGTATAACATCCACATCCTGCTGAGTTTCCTGCCCTTCCTAAAATTCACTCTCCCAGCCACCTCCCACAAGTTACCAGAGTTTCCCAAGCTAGTGTTGGCAACCATATTAATAGAGGCTGGTGGTATAACAGGATTAATTTTTAGGGACTTAATAGGACTGGATTCTAAAGGTTTTTGGTAGCACAGATATATATGAGGCAATTCATTCAGTAGGTAAAACAGCTGGTTAATATTTTAAAGGCTGAGCTGGCTAAGCTAAATTCTGTTTGTGGGAACCATGCCTTCACTTGATTGGTATTTACTCTCAGTTCCCTAAATTAAGACAGAAAACTCAGAAGGCCTCTGCTAATCAGTCTTACGGCACATGGGCAGTTATAAGTACACATTGGTGATATACCAATTTAAATGTCATGGCTTTCTCAACAGAATTCCATATATTGTAGTTTTATATTAAGGAACTTTAAAGATGCTCATGTTGTTGTTGTTGTTCAGTTGCATAGTCGAGTCCGACTCTTCGCGACCCCATGGACCAGATCACGCCAGACTTACCGGTCTTCCGCCGTCCTCTGAAGTTTGCTCAATTTCATGTTCGTTGCATCTATGACACTGTCTAACCATCTCATCCTTTGCCGTCCCCGTCTTCTTTGACCTTCAGTCTTTCCTAGCATCAGGGTCTTCTCCAGTGAGTACTCCCTTCTCATTTGGTGGCCAAAGTATTTGAGCTTCAGTTTCATTATCTGGCCTTCCAGGGAACAGTCAGGGTTGATT